CCAGCCAAATAGCTCAGCAGATTAAAGCACCTGCTTAGGCAGATGCAGCAAGCTGGGGTTCTACCCCCAGCTTGCTGTGTTGGCAATGGCTCCACCCCAGGAGGGTGTGGGAGTGGGCTAAGAGGGCAATTGAGACTGGACATGGTGGTGCATGCCTGTAATCCCAGCTCTTGGGAGGCTGAACACAGGTGGATCACTGAGTCCAATCTATGTAGTGAAACAATGTACATCCTGTAGACCCTTAGTAAAAATACAAAATAAATTTTAAGCATCAACTATTGTAACAAGTAATATATCAACTACTGCAACTGTTGTACTAACCTTTCTTTTTCTTTTTTTTTTTTCCCAGAACCAAGGATTGAACTCAGGACCTTGCGCTTACCAGGCAAGTGCTTAATCTACTGAGCTATCTCCCAGGCCCCACTAACCTGTTTCATTGTTTATCCTTTTTCTCTTTAAAATAAGTAAATTTTAAAAGGGGGCTTAAAATGACCCTAAACTTAACCCCCAATAGACTTCCCACAATCAACTAATTAATCAATAATAAATCTTGGGCCAGAAGATGGTTCAGTACAATGAGTGCTGGGCCGGGGAGATAGCTCAGTAGTATAAGCACTTGCCTGGCAAGCACAGGGTCCTGAGGTCAATTCTCAGTACCATTAAAAAAAATTAAAAAGTACACTTAGCGGGGCCGGGGAGATGGCTCAGTGGAATAAGCGCTTCCCTGGCAAGCACAGGGGTCCGAGTTCAAGCCCCGGTTCTGCCACAAAAAAAAAAAAAGTACACTTAGAGATTAAATAATACAATCAATTCATTTGGGGCCAAGGAGAGGGGGGGGGGGGGAGAGCGCTTCCCTGGTAAGCACAAGGGCCTGAGTTCAATTCCCGGTTCCGCAAAAGAATAAATAAATAAATAAATAAATAAAGACTGGAATGTTGAAAAATAATAAATCTTATTTCTTTCTTCAGAGCTAGAACTGTGACGGTCTTACCTGGCTGAAGTGTAGACTTCTATATTAAATTGTTCAGAACAGGGCACAAAGCTGATGTTAAATGGGTCTGCTGCCCCTAGGAAGGCCCCTGAGGCTCTGAGCCAGATCCCAACCCAGACACGCCACAGCTACCCACTGTAGCAGGGCTGGCTCTGTGCTCACTCACTACTACTGCTGCTGCTGCAGACCTTTGCAAGGAGGGCGGGGGGTGGGGGATGCTCAGCACTTACAGGGGCCCAGACAAGCAGCACCCACTGTCTGGAGTGCTGCCCTAACCAGAGTGGGCAGCTTCCCAAGCAGCCTTTATGGGTTTCCTTCTATCCTTAAAACCTCTACCACCCAGAAAGGACCATTAACAATGAGCTATTTTTTTAGAATCACAATGTTATACAGTCCACTTTCCATCCATTCCTAGCAATTCCAGCTCTCCGCAACCTGGATGCCACACCTTTTTGGGCACATGTGACAGCCAATGCTGCCTGAACACTGTACCCTGCAGGTTCCCGAGTCTTTGTACAGAGAGTCTACCCGCAGCCGGACTCAGCTCCACATTATTACAGGCCATTTCTTTCTCTTTTTTTTTGCTGGATGAGGACCTTTTTTATTCACTGTTTCAGAAAATGAATCCCCAAAGGCTCTGAAAAAAAATCACCCAGAGGGGCCAGGATGATGGCTCAGTGGAATAAGTGCTTCCCTACCAAGCGCAAGGGCCCGAGTTTAATCCCCAGTTTCGAACGGGGAAAAAAAAAATCAGCCACAGCTGTTTGGTTTCC